AGTAGAGATGGGGTTTCACTATCTTGGCCAGGCTGGTCTTGTACTCTTGATTTAGTGATCCACCCTCCTCAGCCTCCTTAAGTCCTGGGTTTACAGGCGTGAGCCCCTGTGCCCGGCCTGATTGAAGTCTTGACTTAACTGTCAGGTTGATCTCTGAGAGCAGATTACGATTATTTTACTAAAGGAGGAGTCCTCTCCTTACTCAGAGTCAGTGAAGCCCGAAGCTCTGCTAAGCACTTTTATCCATTATAGTCAATTCTTGAGAGGTAAGTAGGTCACTACACAGGTGACCTATGAGTTGAATGCAGACAGCAGGTGTGTTCTGCTGGACTTGCATGGATTCTAAAATTTTCTTTTTTTTTTTTTTTTTGAGACAGAGTTTCGCTCTTGTTGCCCAGGCTGGAGTGCAATGGCACAATCTCGGCTCACTGCAACCTCCCGGGTTCAAGAGATACTCCTGCCTCAGCCTCCTGAGTAGCTGGGATTACCAGCATGTCCCACCATGTCCAGCTAATTTTGTATTTTTAGCAGAGACGGGGTTTCACCATGTTGATCAGGCTGGTCCCAAACACTCGACCTCAGGTGATCCACCTGCCTTGGCCTCCCAAAGTGCTGGGATTACAGGCGTGTGACCCTGAGACCGGCCTGCTGGATTCTTAAATTTTTAAACTTTGTTATCAGTTTAGAAGTCAGGAGGTCACAGAGAAATCACATTGTTTTTGGTTTCTCTTTAATAGTTTCTCAAAGGCCTCCAAAGTCCCGTTACCCTCCCATCTTACACCCAAGCCATTGGTCACTTATATTAGCCGGTGGCTGGAGGCATTTAACTTTTCTGTTTCTAAATTGAGTTGAGGGTCTCGTTTTGTTGCTGAGGCTGATCAGGAACTCTTGGGGTCAAGCCATCAGCTCACCTTGGCATCCCAAAGTGCTGAGATTACAGGCATGAGGTACTGCACCCGGCCCTGTTTAAGTTTGTAATGTCTGCTGTACTTACGGACTCATCTTGCCCTGATGCCTTTCGGAGCTCTTTTAGGGGCTGCTGTTGCCACACAGCAACTGTGGTAACCCTCTCTCCTAGACCTGCCTGCATCCAAAAGCCAGCCCTGGAAAGAATACCTCTCATTCTCAAGAAGAAGTTAATGTCTGCTTTATGGTAGATGTCCAATAAATATTCTTTGAACAATTAAATAGATGCTCAGATGTCATTTGACCTAGTTTAGGTGATCCCATGGAGGGATCCAAACCTTTAAACTCCCTCAGTATCCCTGAAATGGCCCCTTTTGCTGGTAGAGAAACTTTGCCCAGGAGTCAGGATACATCCACTTTGGGGCTTGGTGCATTCCTGGGACTGTGTGGGGTAAAAGGGTCCCTTTCAGGAGAGCATTCCCTGACCCTGGACACTCAGTTCTCCTCCTGGTTAGCAGAGTGAAGAGTGTCATCATTTCCAGGACCCCTCCCCACTTCTGCTTTCAGTTCATTGCTCATTCTGGCCTGAAAACAATACTGACTTGCTAAGTTGCATGTCCATCTTGGCCTTGAGGATTAAACACCTGGAAGCCAGGTGAGGTGGCTTGCACCTTTGGTCCCAGCTACTCAGCAGGATGAAGCAGGAGAATTGCTTGAAGCCAGGAGTTTGAGACCAGCCTGGGTGATACATTAAGATCACATCTCTAAAAAATCAAAAACAAACAGAACACTTGGCCAGGTGCAGTGGCTCAGCCAGGTGAGGTGGCTTGCACCTTTGGTCCCAGCTACTCAGCAGGATGAAGCAGGAGAATTGCTTGAAGCCAGGAGTTTGAGACCAGCCTGGGTGATACATTAAGATCACATCTCTAAAAAATCAAAAACAAACAGAACACTCAGCCAGGTGCAGTGGCTCCCAGCACTTTGGGAGGCTGAGGTTGGTGGATTGCTTGAGCCCAAGAGTTTGAAACCAGCCTGGTCAACATGGTGAAACCCTGTCTCTACTAAAAACACAAGAATTAGCTGGCTGCAGTGACACTCACCTATAATCCCAGCTACTCGGGAGGCTGAGGCAGGAAAATTGCTTGAACCTGGGAGGTGGAGGTTGCAGTGAGCCGAGATGGTGCCATTGCACTCCAGCCTGGGTGACAGAATGACACTCTGCCTCGGAAAAACAAAAATGAAAACAAAACCACAAAATCCCAAAAACAGAACATCTGGAAAACACCAGAGACAAACCCCTAGGAGTAATTTTTCTTTCATCAAATTGACAATACCATCAATCAGAATCTTGGAACTCCTATAACATGTTTAACTCCAAAAGCAGAGTTGCAAACTCAAATGCTCAGGGGCCAAGTAGGCATTGTGGCCACCTAGAAAGTGAGCCTCGAAGGTGGGGAAGTTGGGTCCCACATGGGCAAATATTCTGATTTTTTTTTTAAAGAATCAATTTTATAGGCCGGGTGAGGTGGCTCACACCTGTAATCCCAGCACTTTGGGAGGCTGAGGTGGGCGGATCACCTGAGGTCAGGAGTTTGAGACCAGCCCAACCAACATGGAGAAACCCCATCTCTACTAAAAATACAAAATTATCCAGGCGTAGTGGCACATGCCTGTAATCCTAGCTACTTTGGAGGCTGAGGCGGAAGAATTGCTTGAACCCCAGAGGCAGAGGTTACGGTGGGCCGAGATTGAGTCCCAGCCTGGGCAACAAGAGTGAAACTCAGTCTTAAAAAGAAAAAAAAAAATCAATTTTATAAGATCTCCCCTCATTTTTAAATGTTAGAAACTAAGTTAAAAAAAAATTTAAGTCCAAGCACAATGGCTCAGGCCTTTAATCCCAGCACTTTGAGAGGCTGAGACCAGTGGATCACCTGAGGTCTGAAGTTCAAGACTAGGCCGGGCGCGGTGGCTCAAGCCTGTAATCCCAGCACTTTGGGAGGCCGAGGCGGGTGGATCACAAGGTCAAGAGATTGAGACCATCCTGGTCAACATAGTGAAACCCCGTCTCTACTAAAAATACAAAACATTAGCTGGGCATGGTGGCACATGCCTGTAATCCCAGCTACTCAGGAAGTTGAGGCAGGAGAATTGCCTGAACCCAGGAGAATTGCCTGAACCCAGGAGGCGGAGGTTGTGGTGAGCCGAGATCGCGCCATTGCACTGCAGCCTGGGTAACAAGAGCGAAACTCCGTCTCAAAAACAAAGGAAGTTCAAGACTAGCCTGGCCAACATGGTGAAACCCCATCTGTACTAAAAATACAAAAATTAGCTGGACATGGTGATGTGCGCCTGTAATCCCAGCTACTCAGGAGGCTGAGGCAGGAGAATCACTTGAACCCAGGAGGGAGAGGTTGCAGTGAGCCAAACTCCCGCCATTGCACATGAGGCTGGGCCACATAGCGAGACTCCATTTCAAGAAAACAAAATTAAACCCTCTGGGCACAACAGCTCAGGCCTGTAATACCAGCACTTTGGGAGGTAGGAGGATCGCTTGAGATCCGGAGTTCAACACCAGCCTGGGCAACAAAGCAAGACCCCTGTCTCTATAAAAACAGTTTAAAAATTAGCCAGGCCGGCCGGGCACGGTGGCTCAAGCCTGTAATCCCAGCACTTTGGGAGGCCGAGGCGGGTGGATCACGAGGTCAAGAGATCGAGACCATCCTGGTCAACATGGTGAAACCCCGTCTCTACTAAAAATACAAAAAAATTAGCTGGGCATGGTGGCACGTGCCTGTAATCCCAGCTACTCAGGAGGCTGAGGCAGGAGAATTGCCTGAACCCAGGAGGCGGAGGTTGCGGTGAGCCGAGATTGCGCCATTGCACTCCAGCCTGGGTAACAAGAGCGAAACTCCGTCTCAAAAAAAAAAAAAAAAAAAAAATTAGCCAGGCATGGTGGTGTGTGTCTACGGTCCCAGCCACTTGGCAGGCTAAAGTGAAAGAATCACTTGAGCCCCGGAGTTTGAGGGTACAGTGAGCTATGATTGTGCCACTGCACTTCAGCCTGGGCAACAGAGCAAGACCCTATCTTACAAAAAAAAAAAAAAAAAGGCAAACCCTTGAGGGCCCACACAACACCAGGAGTTGGTATGGGCACAACTGTGTCTGTCTACTGGGTGAAGGTGTGTGTCTCAGGGGATTTTGGTGAGCCAAAGACAGTGGGCATGAGAATGTTTTCTAGAGGAAACTTCCTGGAATGAGAATGTTTTCTAGAGGAAACTTCCTGGAATCTGATTCCAGGACTGGGCCCCTGACCCTTTTCCTGCCACCCAGCCCCCAGGCCTGCCCAGGAGAAATAATTCCTTCCCCCGGAAAGTAAAGCCTAGTCTCTGTCCTCTCCATCTTGGGCCTACTTCTCAGGGTCTAAAGGGAACTGGTGCCTCAGAAGCAGCATCTCCAGCTGCCAGGGGTGTTTGAGAACCCAGGACCCCATCTATCCCCAAGCTGAAGTGAGTCTGGAAAAATCAGATTTACTCACTTCTTTTTTTTTTTTTTTTTGAGATGGAGTCTCATTCTGTCACCCAGGCTGGAGTGCAGTGGTGTGATCTTGGTTCAGTGCAACCCCCGACTCCCAGGTTCAAGTGATTCTCTTGCCTCAGCCTCTCAAGTAGCTGGGATTACAAGCGTGTGCCACCATGCTCAGCTATTTTTTTTTTTTTTAAAGTAGAGATGGGGTTTCACCATGTTGCCCAGGATAGTCTCGATCTCTTGACCTCGTGATCTGACTGCCTCAGTCTCCCAAAGTGCTGGGATTACAGGTGTGAGCCTCCGGGTTGGAGGGAGTCCCCAGCCTGTTTCCCAAGTTCACTCTTAGGGAGAGAGTTCTGTGCCAGTCTTGGGGGTACCCAGAAGGCCCTTAACTAGGAGTCCTTAAATGAATTCAGAGTCCCTCAGGAGATAATAACCTTCAGAAACCCCGTGTGCTAACATGAATGGTCCTGCCCTCTCCACCCTGCAAAATGCCCTTCTTTCTACCTGTGAGGATGACTGCAATGCTCTCCTTGAAACTTCAAATAACACCATCTTTCCACGAAATACATCTTCCCATTTTCCCATTTTGGTGGCCCTGCCTTGCTGGCATTACAAACACGTGGTGGGTGAAGCCATCCTCACAAGCCGGCATTGCAGATCTGGGAGTTACCTCTTGGCCAAGAGCAGGTGCAACCCGGGCTCGGGACTCCAGACCCGGAACCCTCAAAACCGGGAACGCTGTAGGGCTGCGGCTGCATGGGGAATGGGATCTGGGAGGGACTTCCTGTTGTCCCTCATCCCAGTCTCCACCCGGCTCCCCCGCCCCGTGCAGGCTGTGGAGACTCCCTTCCCTGGGGAGGGGGCTCCTGCTGCCGCAGGTGCCCTCTCTGCCTCCACCCCGGTGAGAAGGGGGTGTTGGGGAGGGCTCCTGGATCCCGATACCGGCGCAGATGATTAGCATGCAGGAGGGGATGGGGTCAAAGGTGGAAGGCTTCGAGCTGGCAGGAGAGAAGGGGGCCAGGACCAGGTTTAGGAAGGAGAAGGACATTGTCTGCCGAAACTGAGAGCAGGATGGGAATCTCAGGCCCGGAGCAGGTGGTTGCATCTGCAGAGGCGCTACTGAGAGCAGGCAGGTTGATTTCTGAATCTCAAGTAGGGCTGGGAGTCAGGTATGGACACAGGGTGCATGTCCCGAGGCTGGGGATAGCAGGGCCTGGATTCCCCTGGCCCTGGTGGGCGGGGTCCCTCCGGCACCTGTTTCTCAGGATCACTGCAGAACTTTCTGCTCCTGATGACAGGAAATACAAATTCCAATTTAGCCCCGGCTTTCCCTGAGCCGACTGCGCTGAGATGTCAGGCTCTTGCTTCAGCAATAAAGGGGACAGTACAAAATAGCACTCCTTCAAAAACAGGACCCAGAAAACATCACAGAGAGTGGCACCGTTGGATAGGGTCTGAGAGACTTTCTTTTCGATGGGGACCAGGCAGTGCTGCTCCTCATGGGGATTTTCGGGGCTCTTTGGAGGTGACCAGGAAGCGAGGGCTGGTTTCTATCTGCTCTTCCAGGCTCCTGGCCAGAAGCTGGAGGGGGCTTGGCCAAGAAGAGGGAGCAACAACTCAGCTGTTCTTTCTAGTTCTGAAATAGAAAATGTCTGCAGACGGTGGAGGCATCCAGACCACCCAGGACAAGGAGACAGCCCTGGAGGTACGGATGGGGCCGGGTGAGGGAGGCGTGCCATGGGAGAGGCTGGTGAGGAGGAGATTTCCAAGGCAGGGAGTCTGGACCCATGGAAGAGTTAGACTCACTGGGGTGGGGGGGTCAAAGAGAAGGTAGCATGCTGGGTAGTACCCTCTGTCCAGAATTAGCAGGATAACAGTTTTGCTCTCCTGGTGAATTCTGTAGTCAGTGGCCACAGGAGACAGCAGGGGGCTGGTTGGGGGTCCTATTGGTGAAGTTTTCTATCTGAGCAACACTCAGAGCACACAGGGAAACCTGTTCTCCCTCCCTGTGCTTCTCTATCTGGAACCACAACTTCTCATCTCTCTGAGTCTGAGCTCCCAGTCCTTCTTCCTGCCTATACCTGCTGCCTGTATGTGCATGCATGTGTGTTTGAGTGTGTGTGTGTGTGTGTGTGTGTGTGTGTGTGTGTGTGTGTGATTACTATTTGCAGGGGACCTGGGTCTCTGGGCTTGGAGTCGGAGGAGTATGAGTCAGCCACAGGCCAGGGGCCAATCCCCTGGCCTCTGGAACCAGATGTGTCACTATAACATGCAGATCACATACCTGCCATTCCCACCTGCCTCGCAGGGTCATTGAGAGGCTCTAAGGAGATACTAGGCATGAGATGCCATCATCTATGGTTTTCACACCACAGAAGCATAAAGAATTGTTAGCATGGTTAGGTTTCCTGTCTACCATGTGCCCTGAACACCCTGTGCCTGTGAGTGGAGCCCCACAGGTCAGCATTCTCTGCTGGCACTGGCTTCTGTCCGGTGTGCACAGGAAGGGAAGCATGACCAGTGCCAACCTGTGTTTATCCAGGACTTTCCTGAGCCAGCAGCTCCTCCATCATTATCTGTGTGAACCTCATGACTGCTCTGTGCAGGTGAAGAGCAGCTATGTCCCAAAGGCTGCCTGGCTGGGAAGGGGTGTCGCCAGGTCTGGCACCCTGACTCCTGGCCTGAGGTTCTTTCCCTCCAAGACCCAAACATAGATAGGGCATGGAGGAAGGTGTGAGGCCCCAGCAGAAGGCTGGCCAGTCCCTGTGCTGTACATGAGGCCCCACCAGGGCCCTCCCCGACTTTCCTGAAGCTTTGGAGCTCTGTGGGGGCCGTTGTCTCCTCCCCAGCTGTGCTGTGTTCGTCTCCCGTGGCTGCTGTCACAAGTTTTCACTCTCTGGGGATCTGAAAATAACCAAAATTGGCTGGGTGTGGTGGGTCACGCATGTAATTCCAGCACTTTGGGAGGCTAAGGTGGGCAGATCAGCTGAGGTCAGGAGTTCGAGACCAGCCTGGCCAACATGGTGAAACCCCTCTCCACTAAAATACAAAAATTAGCAGGATATGGTGGTGCATGCCTGTAATCTCAGCTACTCAGGAGGCTGGGGCAGGAGAATCGCTTGAACCCGGGAGGCAGAAGTTGCAGTGAGCCGAGCCGAGATCATACCATTGCACTCCAGCCTGGGGGAACAAAAGCGAGACTTCATCTTAAAAAAAAAAAGAAAGAAAGAAAGAACTAGAATTGACTTAGAATTGACTTCTCACAGTCCTGGAGGCCTGAAGTCCAAAATCTAGGGTCTGCAGGGTCACGCTCCCTTTGGAAGCTCTAGGCTAGGAGGACTGGCCCTTGCTTCTTCCAGCTTCTGGGGACTCCTAGTGTCCTTGGCATGGGCATCCCTCCAGTCTGCTTCCTTCTGTGTCCTCTCCTATTCTTATAAGGACATAAGTCATTAGATTTTAGGCTCACTCTAAATCCAGGATGATTTCATCTCAAGATCTTTAACTGATCTCTGTAAAGACCCTTTTTCCACAATAAGGTCCCATTCTGAGGTTCAGGGAGGACATGGATTCTTAGGGGACATACTCAAACCACTAAGCTTGGTTCCCTCATACACTAATAAACAGCCGTCTACACTGCTGTGGTCAGTGTGAGGCTGAAGCTGAGAAGAGGTAGCTGTCCTCAGCATGTGCTCACCTGCACCGTGGTGGCAGGGTAATGAATATTCCTCCTCTTGCTGCCTGTCCTTACTGGGGTGAGCCGGAGTGGAGGCAACAAGGCCAGTCCTTCAAGCTTCGTCTTGCGTGTGGGTTCAGACCCTGCTGGAACGCCCTGGCAGGCAGCTCTGGGTGTCTCTCCCACTCATCCGGCTCCTGATGGGGCTGTTCCTTCTAGGTTCCAGATAGCGGACATCCTCGTCAGGAAATGCTTTCTGGGCTAGGGGGAGGCAGTGCCTCCAGGGGCCACTCAGGAGTCATCCCACATTAAGATGGAGCCAGAGGAGCCACACCCCGAGGCGGCATTGCAGGAGGACGGGGCTCAAGGTGCACGGGGCTGGGCACCCCTAAGTCATGGCTCTAAGGAGAAAGCCCTCTTCTTGCCTGGAGGAGGTAGGAGAGGGATGGGGAAAAGGGGCTTTCCCAGGGAGGCAGCTGTGGGGAGGTCAAGGCTCGGCCCAGGTCCAGGTGGGGCTGAGGGTCTCTATGCCGGCAGGGGATGCGCTTTCCCCATGGCCCCCTGCCCCCGGCAGCCTCAGAGCCATCTGACCCTGTCCTTGGGTTGGGCCAGGGGTGGAGTTTGAGGCAGCTAGGGTAGCAGCAGGTCCAGCAGGATGAGCTCGTCACCCTGAGGACCACTCTCCTCCCACAGCCCTCCCCTCCCCCCGGATCCCAGTGCTTTCCCGAGAGGGGAGGACCAGAGACCGGCAGATGGCCGCGGCGCTCCTCACCGCCTGGTCCCAGGTGAGTGGCCCTTCCCCGGCCCCTGCTTGGTGCTCAGTTCTTCCTGCATCTGCTGGTTCTGCGCAAAGCCGGGACCTCGCTAGCCCCACTTGCAACCAAGCCCGAAGCCTGGGGCTCTTGTTAGTGCTGCTGGAATTGTCCAGGCTTGAGGCCCACAGTCAGGCCTGGCCAAAGCTGGAGGAGAAGCAGCAGGAAGCAGAGACACAGGGGCTTTCATTGGAAGGTGTTGGGAGCCGTCTGAGCTGAGGATGGGGGCTGCATGGACATCCGAGTCTTCACTGTAGTCCCTGAAAATACGTTTGGTCTTTTCTCAACTCCCCAAAAGGCCTCGGGTGACTCACCGCTTCCCCATCAGATGCACGTGGCCTCACTCGAGACAGCGGGTTGGGAGTCTGGGATCTCGCCACACATCTCATGTCATAGTGTCCCTCCACTGTGTCCACAGCGTGTCCTGGAGAGTGGATGTTTCACATTGTTTCAGATGCCAGTGACCTTTGAGGACGTGGCCTTGTACCTCTCCCAGGAGGAGTGGGGACGGCTGGATCATACGCAGCAGAACTTCTATAGGGATGTCCTGCAGAAGAGAAACGGGCTGTCGCTGGGTACGCACTTGCCGAGTCGGGGGCTGCGGTGTCGGGGAGGGGTCCTGCTCGGCCGTCTCCTCTCTACCCTCTTTCCTTCCTCTCCCTCCCATCCTTCTCCTTGTCCCTCGAGACAGCACCGCTCCATGGAAACTTCTCTAACGATGGAAATGTTCTGCGTGTGCTAGGATGGTAGCCACAAGCCCTGTGTGGCCGCTGAGCACTTGAAATGTGGGTACAGCCCTCAAGTTTTTAACTTTAATTGGTTTTAATCAGCTCAAATCAGAGTTTAAATAGCCATGTGTGGCTAGCAGCTACTGTACTGGACGCTGACCCAGGAAGTCCGCTTTTCCTCAGTTCATCTGCACGGCTCACTCCTGTAGCTCCAGCTTCCTTTCCAAGCCCCAACTTCAGAGGTGTCTGAGCAGCAAGCTCAGCTTCGGGGCCTGGGGGCTGCCTTCCCTGGAGGGAAATGACATGAGCTGAACTCCCCAGGCCCTGCAGACCCTGAGGTGTCCCAACTGCTTTGAGGAGCAGGTGCTTGTCTCCGAGGGGCTTTGGTTCCCTTCGTTTCTTGGATGGTAAGTATTTGAGTCGCAGAGCTTTTTTTTTTTTGAGACAGAGCCTTGCTCTGTCACCCAGGCTAGAGTGGAGTGGTGCCATCACAACTCATGCAGCCTCAACGTTCTAGGTTCAAGTGATCCTCCTACGTCAGCCTCCTGAGAAGCCAGCACTACAGGCACCATCATGCCCAGCTACTAATTTTTTTCTTTTTCTTTTTCTTTTTGGTAGAAATGGGATCTCACTACGTTGCTCAGGTTGGTCTTGAGCTCCTGGGCTCAAGCCATCCTCCTGCTTTGAGCTCCCATAGTGTTGAGATTATAGGTGTGAGCCACTGTGCCCAGCCATCCCAGAGCTTTTGACTCCTCAGTTCCAGATTCTAGTTTTCATATGGAAAAATCAGCGTTCAGTCATTCATTAATTCATTCATTTATTCATTCATTCAGTTGATACCCAGCTATTGCACACTTGCTAATCCAGGCAGAATCCAGGACTCAGCAGTTCCAGCTGGTGGCATCATGGTGGTCCCAAGGCCCTGCTGGCTGGCACCAGGAACAGTCACCCCTTTAATTAGCTCAGGCTGCACACCACTGCTCTTATGGTTCCCTGGGGCCTGGGCCAGCAAGCCCAGGCAAGCCCTGGGGAATCAGAAGGAAGTCAGCACCCATTTCAGCCCCATGGCAGGCCTCACAGACTCCCCAAGCCACCTGGTTGGTCTAACACATTCCTTTCCTCCCACTGGTGGTGGAAACCAGGGCCTCTCTGCTCTCTTACTGAGTTGGCCAAAACTCCCAGGGCCACTCACCTCCAAGACTCAACAAATGGGATGACCTCTTAGTGGTTGGCAACCCTTGCCCTCTTTGTTCTAAGTTCTCCCGCTTGGAGAGCCACTACCCGCCTCCCGCTGTGGGTGTAGGTGTGGGCTACTAGTCCAGTGGGTCATGATGTGGGGTGCTGCCCACTCCTCTCCCTTAAATGCTGTTGCTTGTTCAGGGAAAGAGGAGACAGGCCTAGTCAGCTCTGAGGAGAGCAGCTTTGGCAGCCCCCAGCCAGGGGGCGGACCCCTAACCCCAGGGATTTCTTGAAGCTGCTTTATTTTACTCCATGTTTCCAGAGCCTCACCCCCCCACTTTGGCCCCATCAATTTTGGGGGATGATGTCTGCCACTGGGCAGCACCAGCAGGCCTGTGACAGCCTGGCATCTCTTTCTGGGCAGGCTTTCCCTTCAGCAGGCCTTTCTGGGCCCCCCAAGTACAGGGCAAGGGCGAGGCCTCAGGCTCCAGCCGCCAGGCAGGAGATGAAAAGGAGGATTGCAGAGGCGAGTGCACAGGTGAGGGATGCGGGTGCGCCTTTGTCTAGGTGAGTGGGGTCCAGACGCGGGTCTTCTGGCTTTTGTCTGTGGGAGCGGGGCAGGGCCGCCAGACCCCCTCCTCTGTAGAGGGCAGCCCTTGTACTTTCTGATCTCCCAGAATCCAGCCCCTACCCTCAACTCTGCCTTCTCCACCACTGGGGCCCTTAGGGAAGCTTGTCCCTCGCTGGAAACGACTTTCTTTTTCCAGGACCCATCCAGGAGGGGCAGGTGGTGCCGACCCCACCCGTGGCAGCCCTTGGAGATGTGAAGCCCTTCAGAATCAGGGCAGGGAAAGTCCAGGGGGCCGTCCCGCAGTGTGCACAAGAAGCAGCCTGTGGCCGGAGCTCAGGGCTGGCCAGAGACGCCGGGCAGCCGGGGGATCCAGACAGCACCCCGGGTGCAGCCCCGCCCGACCCCAGTCCCCCGGAGGCTCAGGAGGGCCGTGTCCCAGGGAAGCCCATCGAGGAGGAGAAGGGCACCCCGGAGAGCGGCGAGGAGGGCTTGGCCCCCGACGGCGAGGCGGGCAGGAAGAGCTACCAATGCGAGCAGTGCGGCAAAGGCTTCAGCTGGCACTCGCACCTGGTGACGCACCGGCGCACGCACACGGGCGAGAAGCCCTACGCCTGCACGGACTGTGGCAAGCGCTTTGGCCGCAGCTCGCACCTCATCCAGCACCAGATCATCCACACGGGCGAGAAGCCCTACACCTGCCCTGCCTGCCGGAAGAGCTTCAGCCACCACTCCACGCTGATCCAGCACCAGCGCATCCACACCGGTGAGAAGCCCTACGTGTGCGACCGCTGCGCCAAGCGCTTCACCCGCCGCTCAGACCTGGTCACCCACCAGGGAACCCACACGGGCGCCAAGCCGCACAAGTGCCCCATCTGCGGCAAGTGCTTCACGCAGAGCTCGGCGTTGGTCACCCACCAGCGCACGCACACCGGGGTCAAGCCCTATCCGTGCCCCGAGTGCGGCAAGTGCTTCAGCCAGCGCTCCAACCTCATCGCGCACAACCGCACGCACACGGGCGAGAAACCCTACCACTGCCTCGACTGTGGCAAGAGCTTCAGCCACAGCTCGCACCTCACCGCGCACCAGCGTACCCACCGCGGCGTGCGGCCCTACGCCTGCCCGCTGTGTGGCAAGAGCTTCAGCCGGCGCTCCAACTTGCACCGGCACGAGAAGATCCACACCACCGGGCCCAAGGCCCTGGCCATGCTGATGCTGGGGGCTGCGGCGGCGGGGGCTCTGGCTGCGCCCCCACCCGCTCCCACCTAGGAGGCCAGGAGAGGGGGACCGGGGCGCCCGGGGCCACTGGGACAGCCCCACTGGAGTCAAGGCCCCGAGGGAGGAGAGAGGGGTGCGGGAAGGGAGCTGGGGCGGTGAGGGCATGGGGTGGGGCATGGCGATGTGGGAGGGGCGAGGGTGAGAAAGGGCAGGCACTCTGGCTGCGAAATTAAAGGCCTTGGACTTGAAGCTCCTGCCTACAGCTCTGTCACCTGAGGCCTTAGCATTGATCCCCCCAGCATGGGGGAGCTCCTGGGGCAATCCCTTGTCCTCAGTGAGGCAACCCCCCGATGTCTCATTGGCTTGAGCGTCCTCTCCTCCCCAGCCTCCACCCCTGGGTTGGGGTCCCTTTTGTCCAAGGCCCATTCCAGAGTCTTGCACACATTGGCAAGCCAAGACTTCAGAGAGGTTTTCAAGGACAGCCAGCCACTCCTGGACCTGGGGACCTCTTGCCAGGCTGTCTGCTGCTGTGCCACTTGTTCCGAGAGCACTGCTCACTGAACCCGCACTCCCCCTCGGCTCTTCTCTTTGGAAGCCAGGAGCAGACAAGCTGGTCTGGAAACTCCTGCCTGCCCCATCTCCCACCCAGGCACCGGTGGCTGTGTTTTGTGACGCGTCTTTTCTGTCTGCTCCCACAATGGCCTGCTTGTGGTCCAGTGAGGGCTCCTCACTCACCAGGGGCCACTTTCCTTCTTGGCCCATGCTGCAGCTGCTGCCACCTGCCTCTGCTTTGTCTCACCTCCTTGGCCTCTTGGTTTATGTCCTTTATAATTTGCCCTACTCACGTCTGCCTGGCTCTGATTTATGCCTGGTCTTCCCCTGTTTTTTTGCTTTGTTTTTTGTTTTTGTTTTTGAGATGGAGTCTCACTCTGTCACCCAGGCTAGAGTGCAGTGTGGCACAATCTTGGCTTACTGCAACCTCCGCCTCCTGGGTCCCAGAGATATTCCTGCCTCAGTCTCCTGGGTAGCTGGGACTACGGGCATGTGCCACCATGCTCGGCTAATTTTTTGTATTTTTTGTAGAGAGGGGGTTTCACCATGTTGGCCCAGCTGGTATCAAACTCCTGATCTCAGGTGATCTGCCTGCTTCAGTCTCCCAAAGTACTGGGATTATAGGTGTGAGCCCCTCGCCAGGCTTCTTCCCCTGGTTTTAACCTCTGCAGCTCCCAACTCCCATTATCTGCTTTTTCCCCTGGGTGGGGATGAGCTCAGCCTGGCTGTCATCCCATATCTGTGGCCCAGCTCCTGAGATAACTTTCAGCTCTGACACCAACTGATCATGAGGATGTCTGCACCAGGGGGGCCATAGAGGCCGCACCTGTCTCTGTGGATTAGGGGGCCACCAGGGTGGCCACAGCCCTGGTTGGCTCCCAGCTCCAAACAAAAAGGGTGACTTGCCTAGGATGGTGGGCTGAGGAGAGTAATCATAGCTGCCAGTTGTTAAGCAGCTGCTCTTCCAGGCATGGGGCCAAGGACTGTAGACTCAGCACCCCAGCTCTCCACAGCAATGTGAGTGGGTATTGCTAGCTGAAGTTTTTCCTTTCCTTTTTTATTTATTTATTTATTTATTTTTTGAGACAGAGTCTCGCTCTGTCACCCAGGCTGGAGTGTAGTGTGTAGTGGCACGATCTCAGCTCACTGCAACCTCTGCCTCCCACATTCAAGCAATTCTCCTGCCTCAGCCTCCCAAGTAGCTGGGATTACAGGCATGTGCCACCATGCCTGGCTAATTTTTTTGTATTTTTAGTAGAGACAGGGTTTCTCCATGTTGGTCAGGCTAGTCTTGAACTCCCAACCTCGGGTGATGTGCCCGCCTTAGCCTCCCAAAGTGCTGGGATTATAGGTGCGAGCCACCACACCTGGCTGTTTTGTCTTTTTAAAAATAGAGATGGGGTCTTGCTATGTTGCTCAGGCTGGCCTTGGACTCCTGAGCTCAAGCGATCCACTCACCTGAGCTTCCCAAGTAGCTGGGACTACTGGTGTGCACCACTAAGCCCCATGCAGGGCTATCTAAAAGGAGGAGGACAAAGCTGGGCACAGCGGCTCACACTTGTGAGCCCAGCACTTTGAGAGGCCAAGGCCGGTGGATCACTTAAGGCCAGGAGTTGAGCCTGGCCAACATGGTGAAAGCGTCTACTAAAAATACAAAAATTAGCTAGGCATGGTGGCAGGCACCTGTAGTTCCGGCTACTTGGGAGGCTGAGGTAGAATCACTTGAAGCCAGGAAGCGGAGATGGCAGTGAGCTGAGATCTTGCCACTGCACTCAGCCTGGGTGACAGAGTGAGACTCTGTCTCAAAAAAAAAAAAAAAAAAAAAAAAAAAAGACAATAGACTTGACCTTCATGAATGTTAGACTCAGCGAGATAGGGGTAGGGGGGTGTAATCAACTGGAAACCAGGGAGCTGCTTGCTAGTGGAAGCCAGGAAGGATTTGGTGTTCAGGTGGTCTCTAGAATCTAGGCTAAGGATGCTGGCAGGATTGGTTGAATTAAATGATTATTTATCGGGCCAGGAAAAAAAAAAAAAAAAAGCTGTTTCCTCCCTTCAGCTTGTCTTCATGGCTCCAGTCACTCAGACAGAAATAGGATTGCTCTGCTTGGCTCAGGGTGAGGGGTGAAGGGAGACTCATCCTGTTGAAACGTTTCCCCTTTGGTGGGAGAGTGCAGGGGCACGGGTTCCAAGGGTCCCTTGGAGGGCGCCTGCAGACTGCCACTTCCTAGGGCTGGGTCTGCTTCGCCCTCTAGGGATCCCTCCAGAGGCCCCATTACTCTTGCCCATAGATCTGGCAAGAGTATCTTAAGAGTGGAACTTGGCCGTGCGCGGTGGCTCAAGCCTGTAATCCCAGCACTTTGGGAGGCCGAGGCGGGTGGATCACAAGGTCAAGAGATCGAGACCATCCTGATCAACATGGTGAAACCCCGTCTCTACTAAAAATACTAAAAATTAGCTGGGCATGGTGGCACGTGCCTGTAATCCCAGCTACTCAGGAGGCTGAGGCAGAAGAATTGCCTGAACCCAGGAGGCGGAGGTTGCGGTGAGCCGAGATCGCGCCATTGCACTCCAGCCTGGGGAACAAGAGCGAAACTCCGTCTCAAAAAAAAAAAAAAAAAAAAGTGGAACCTGGCAGTTGGGAAATATTCGACAATCGCAAATAAGACATGCGGGAGTACGGGCTGTGCCACGGAAGGGCCTGGAACGCCAGGCTTATGGGTTCTCATAGCTTGGTGGGTGATGGGCGTCACTGATGGGAGGCTGGAGGGAAGAAGCCACTGAACGGTCTTGGTGTCTCCCAGGGTAGAGGGTGGGCAGGTTCAGCCATTTCCCTGACTTCCTTGGGGCTTCTCGGCCACTGGAAAACCCCACCAGCTCATCACTGACGCTGTTTCGGGAGCACGGTGAGGGCGGAGGCGGAGAGGCAGGTTTCCATCCTGGCTTCCCACCTGCTTCCCTGCGGCCGCAGGTCCCTGCTACAGGCGCAACGGATCGGCTGGCGGCTCTACCCCCCTGAGCCGGGGCCGTCGGCCTCAGCGCAGTCCTAGCCTAGGACAGCGACTCCCAGCTCCCGGGCCCGGTCCGGCGGTGAGGCCGGGAGTCCGCGGGGTCCCAGGGCCCAACCTTCCGCCCCGCTGCCCCATCGCCCGCCAGACTATCCTGAGGCCACGCCCCCCGCTCTGCCCTCAGCCAATCAACAACGGGGCGGGGAGAAAAGCGGCTCTAGCAAAACCAGCCAATCACGGCTGACGTTTGTTCCCGGTGCGGCCCTCCCCTTGCCACGCCCCAAGACGCATGGTAGCCTCGGCAACTACTCCAGGTTCCAGGGTTTGAAACGTTCCCTCTTACCTTTAACAGGGCGTTCGTTACCGAAGGAAGCCAAGACCAAAGGGCTGGACTCCGTTTTGCTGCAGGCCTCAGTCCTCACAGCCCGCCCCGCTCTGCCCCGCCACTGACTTCCTGGGTCTATCACCGAGATGCCGAGCCTCCTGCAGTCCTAGAGAGGACATGGCTCAGGGCCAGGACCACTTCTGGCTTTGGGCGGCCACTTCCGTCTCCGATGACTGCCCGCCAATTAGCTGCACTGGTTCCTGCACCAGGGCTGAGTGGCTTCGCAGCACCTGCTGCGGCGCTGGAGCTTCTTCCCGGCTCCCAAACAGTGGCTGACTGTGCTGCCAGCTGTCGTGCGGCCACGGCCGGCGGAGAGCGCGGGGGAGCAGAGAAAACGCGCGGGCTGTGCGAGGCGGCTCGCGGCTCTGGGATGCCTAAGGGGCAGAGAGCGGCAAACGTTAGGCCTGGCCGGGCGCGGTGGCTCACGCCTGTTAATTCCAGCACTTTTGGAGGCCGAGGCGGGTGGATCACGAGGTTCAGTTCGAGACCAACCAAGCTAACATAGTGAAACCCCGTCTCTACTAAGAATACAAAAATTAGCCGGCCGTGGTGGCGCGCGTCTGTAATCCCAGCTACGCGGGAGGCTGAGGCACGAGAATCGCTTGAACGTGGGAGGCAGAGATTGCAGTGAGCCGAGTTCGCGCCACCGCACTCCAGCCTGGGCAACAGAGCAAGACTCTGTCTCGAAAAAGAAAAGGGCCGAGCGCGGTGGCTCAAGCCTGTAATCCTAGCACTTTGGGAGGCCGAGGAAGGTGGATCACCTGAGGTCAGGAGTTCAAGACCAGCCTGGCCATCATAGTGAAACCCCAACCTAGAAAAAAAAAAAAAAAAAAAAAAAAGACAACAAAACAGTAGGGGCATTGCTCCATTCCTTACATATTCATCTTTCTTTTCTTTCTCCTTTTTTTTGGGGGGGGCGGGGTAGGTGACAGAGTTTGTTCTTGTTGCCCAGGCTGAAGTGCAATGGCGCTATTGGCTCCCCGCAACCTCCGCCACCCAGGTTCAAACGCTTCTCCTGCCTCAGCCTCCCGAGTAGCTGGGATTACAGGCATGCGCCACCACACCCGGCTAATTACTCCCGACCTCAGGTGATCTGCTCGCCTCGGTCTCCCAAAGTGCTGGGATTACAGGTGTGAGGCATTGTGCCTGGCCAATTTTTATATTTTTAATGGGGTTTCACCACCCTCAGGTGAGGCTGGTCTTGAACTCCTGACCTCAAGTGATCCATACGTCTCAGTCTCCCAAAGTGCTGGGATTATGGGGGTGAGCCACCGTGCCCGGCCTCACTGGTTCATTTTTAAAATACGAAATGAATGCCTGCTAATTTAGCAAAGGTCCTTTACTAAATGTTGAGTCCTAACTGATGAAAATTCCAGACAAGACCCTTGCCCTGACGGGGTTCCAGTGTAGTGGGGTAGACTGACAGACACATACATGGCACACACTTTAACTTCAAGTAGTGACAGATGCCAGAAGGAAATGAACTAGGTGAAGCAGCAGAGGAGGTCAGAGCTTCGTTGTCGGGGAAGCCCCTTCCAAGGAGGGGACATTTAAGCAGTGACTTGAAGGGTGAGAAGGCAATTTACAAGGATCTGGAGTAAAAACCTTTTTTTTTTTTTTTTTGAGACGGAGTTTCGCTCTTGTTACCCAGGCTGGAGTGCAATGGCGCGACCTCGGCTCACTGCGACCTCCGCCTCCTGGGTTCAAGCAATTCTCCTGCCTCAGCCTCCTGAGTAGCTGGGATTACAGGCACGCGCCACCATGCCCAGCTAATGTTTTGTATTTTTAGTAGAGACGAGGTTTCACCGTGTTGACCAGGATGGTCTTTTTTTTTTTTTTTTTTTGAGACGGAGTTTCGCTCTTGTTACCCAGGCTGGAGTGCAATGGCGCGATCTCGGCTCACCACAACCCCCGCCTCCTGGGTTCAGGCAATTCTCCTGCCTCAGCCTCCTGAGTGGCTGGGATTACAGGCACGCGCCACCATGCCCAGCTATTTTTTTGTATTTTTAGTAGAGACGGGGTTTCACCATGTTGACCAGGATGGTCTCGATCTCTTGACCTCGTGATCCACCCGCCTCGGCCTCCCAAAGTGCTGGGATTACAGGCTTGAGCCATCACGCCCGGCCGTAAAAACCTTTCAAGCAAAGGGAACAGGATAAACATGAGAAGACTCGTGCCCAGAAGCTGAAATGACCCCCTCAAACCCCACTCCCCCATATGGAAGGGAGGGGAGCCAGGCGATAAGGCTGGAGAGATGAGACGTGTCAGGGGCTGTGGCTCGAGGCTTCTCCCCAGTGTCTTGTCAAGCGTGGAGAATGGGGTGAAGACAGTCCAGCCCTCCTCACTGCACACTTCTCTGGCAGCCTGAGATATGGGGTCAGGTGGGCTTCCTGCCTGGGGTAGAGGCAGCACCCAATGAATGGCCTACACCTCAGTAACTTAAGACAGTGATTCTCAACTAAGAAAGCCCCAGGCAGTCATGAAGATGAACACAGATCTCACAGAGCAACCAGAGAGCTTTTCAAGGAATCAGGTGATCCTGTCATTAATGCCTTTCTCAGAGACTTAGTGAAGCCAATGTCTCCTGGTAAAGATACCTGGGGATAGGGTGGGTACACGGGTCACACATAAGGTCACTCAACATTTCCATCTTCCTAAGGAGAAGGAGCCTTTGGATTCCTTCTTTCCTATCATGCACTTCAGGCATCTCAGTCTTGTTAACTGAAGGCCACCACTGAGTCCAAATTTCACCCAACCAATGGAGTAAACTGCTAAAAAGCCACCAACAGCCACACGTGAACATTAAATTTGAAGTTTACTAAATGCACCTATATTCTCTTTTTTTTTTTTTTTTTTTTTTGGACAGAGTCTTTGTCACCCAGGTTGAAGTGCAGTGGCATGATCACAGCTCACTGCAGTGTTGACCTCTCAGGCTCAAGCGATCATCCCACCTCATCCTTCTGATTAGCTAGGACTGTAGGCACCCACCACCACACCCTGATAATTTTTGTATTTTATGTTTCAGCTATGTTGCCCAAACTGATAACAGACTTCTGGGCTCAAGCAATGATCCCCCTGCCTCGGCCTCTCAAAGTGCTGGGACTACAGGTGTGAGCCACTGTTCCCAGCCTCATCTCATCTCTTACATTCTGTCACTTTGGTATGCTGTTCTAGACTCTACTCTTGGACCTGTCCCTTGGGTTTCTGCGAGTATATATTAGCAAAGTCTGAATAAGTGTATAAGCTAAGTCATAATGTGTGTCTTTCCTTTCTCTGCCTCTCTCTCTGTCTCTCTTTCTCTCTGTTTTAGAGATGGAGTCTTGCTCTGTCACCTAGGCTGGAAGTGCAATGGTGCCATCTTGACTTACCGAAACCTCCACCTCCCAGGTTCAAGTGACTCAGCCTCTCGAGTAACCGGGATTACAGGCACCTGCACCTGGCCAGGATCACCTTTTTTTTTTTTTTTGAGACGGAGTTTCGCTCTTGTTACCCAGGCTGGAGTGCAATGGCACGATCTCGGCTCACCGCAACCTCTGCCTCCTGGGTTCAAGCAATTCTCCTGCCTCAGCCTCCTGAGTAGCTGGGATTACAGGCACGTGCCACCATGCCCAGCTAATTTTTTGTATTTTTAGTAGAGACGGGGTTTCACCATGTTGACCAGGATGGTCTCGATCTCTCGACCTTGTGATCCACCCGCCTTGGCCTCCCAAAGTGCTGGGATTACAGGTTTGAGCCACCGTGCCCGGCAGGATCACCTTCTTTACCAATCAGCACAGTAACTTTCACATGAGAGATTTGTTGGGACTGTAAATTTAGCTGTCATTATTATTCAGTAATTCTACAGTTAAGTGTTGTGTTTGATTTTCAGTGATATTATTGTGGCTATAAGAAATAAGAGCTTGTAATCCCAGCACTTTGGGAGGCCGAGGCGGGTGGATCACGAGGTCAAGAGATCGAGACCATCCTGGTCAACATGGTGAAACCCCGTCTCTACTAAAAAAAATACAAAAAATTAGCTGGGCATGGTGGCACGTGCCTGTAATCCCAGCTACTCAGGAGGCTGAGGCAGGAGAATTGCCTGAACCCAGGAGGCGGAGGTTGCAGTGAGCCGAGATCGCGCCATTGCACTCCAGCCTGGGTAACAAGAGTGAAACTCTGTCTCAAAAAAAAGAAATAAGAGCTGTGCCAGGCAGGGTGGCTCACACCTGTCATCCCAGCACTTTGGGGAGTGTGGGTAATCCCCCATCTAGGCACCGAGGATGGAAAGTTAAGCAGAATCCTGGCACAATTAGTGCCTGAAGAATATCTGAGTTTATAGTGTTACTACTCAGTTATTTCCTTTTATATAATCCTTTATATATAATCATATATTAGTTTATAGGACAAGTGCCTGAAGAATATCTTACTACTCAGTTATTTCCATATATATATATATATATATATATATCTTAGTTCATAATCAGAGGAATGCCTAGAGTAGACACAGTACGGAGCATGAATTAAGGAATAAGCAGCTTATAGTTGGAGGAATGTCTGGAGCAGACACGGTGCAGAGCATGATTTAAGGAAAAACAGTTATACCAGGACAAGAACCCATGGCCCAGGCGGCAGCGTTCAGTATCGTAAAGATACCCGCTGTATGGAAGGCCTGGGGCGAGAGCCACTCCTCCTGATAAAGGAGTTGTAAGACCTTGCTCCAGTTCTTGTGAAACGCTGTCCTCAGACCGGCAATCCACCTTGGTGACCATGAACTTTATCAGCTCTTGTTACTGTGCTGGCTCAAAAGCATCCTCTCATAGAACTCATTGGAAGCTGCCAGCAGATGGCGGTAAACCCTGCCAGCTCTTTCCCTACTGTGTGACTCAGAGCAACCTTCTATAGATACCCTTATCAAGTAGCATGCCCATAGATAATATATATTGTGCACTGCACTCTCTTCACTGCACACGGCTCACCTCCATGCCTCTGTAACTTAATGGGGGTGGACCCCTCACTGTGCATGGCCCAACTTCATGCCTCAGTGACCTAATGGGGGTGGACCCCTTGTTTATTGCTCACAACCCTATCACTATCCTAAAGATGACTTCACTCATTACCCTGCCCCCTAACCTATACCCAATAAATACAGACGCTTCTGGACATTTGGGGCCTCGCCTGTCTCTGCTTATAAGTGGCGTGGCCCCACTGAGCCCAGCTGTGCTTTCTTTGTACTTCGGTGTCCTGTCTCTTTATGTCTTGAATCCTGCACCTCAGCACAGAGATAGGGGACACGCCACAACCCCGTAGGGCTGTCACCCTACAGGGAGGCTGAGGCAGGTGGATCATGAGGTCAGGAGATTGAAACCATCCTGGCTAACATGGTGAAACCCCATCT